GGATTTATAATTTCTTTTTATTTTGTTCGTAAGTCTCCTGTCCTGAAATATTTAAGTATATTTTCAGGTAAAAATTTGACCAAGTCTGACTTTAAATATTTGTTTCTGTTACCTTACAATATTTCAAAATTTACTACGGCTTCTCTGGATGCTAGGGGACTGGACTACATATTTATGGATGATAATGCGCGGCCAGACAGAACTCACATTGTTGATGAATTTCATGAAAGAGCGGATATTCATCGTATAGCTAGAGGGATTTATGTTTATTTGTATTTCTAAGGAATCTTTTTCAATTTATACCTAATAATGACCCAATGCAAAAAGTCGTTTATTTTTAATCATACATTTTTCACTTTTGTTTGAAATAAATTAAAAGAAAAGAATGTCATAGCTTCTTCAATTTATCCGTTTTTAAAATTTCTTTCATTTATGTGTGTGATTGGTCGTATGATAAGAGAGAACATGTAAGGTCAAAAAATTGATATGGTTGACAGGGGCCAAATTTATTTGCTTTTATTCTTATTAAAAGCTTTTATTTAACTTACAATGTATGTATATATGTATGTAATTTTTTCGGGGGGAATCTTGCAACTCAATTTTGAAGCTGATACCTTCATCATATTGAGCTGAAATTTTGTATACACGTTTAGTTTTGATGACATTGCATGTTTTGACCCCTTATATTCTGATATTGAAATTAATTAAAAATATATTAATTAAAAACTTTAAACTAGTTTTGGGCGCCAAATTCGATATGTCTGCATTATAGTAATAATGTTATTGTTACAACAAAAGTTGGCGTCGAAAATCGGTTTTCAGCCAAACTGGAATTTCATAACGTTGCGCTATTGACTGTATTAATTAACTTTGTCTAAAAAATAATTACATTTCTACAACATTAAATTAACCTGATTTCTACAACGTATGCAATTTTTAACAAATTTCTATCTATTTTCTTGAATTTAAATTCAAAACAAAAAAAGTAGAGCTATTTTTCAAGTAGATTGGTACATTGTGTACCTTTCTCAACGCTGCCAAGTTAAACTGAGATGGAGTATTGTAGAAATTCTTTAAAAAATTTATCTAACTTTAATCTATGAAACTCAGACAAAAAATAATTACAGAATCGGAAAGATCAATTACTTCGTCCCAATACGGTATAATTTTTTCTTACAAAATAATAATATTTGTATTTTTACGATTTTTTTAAATAAGTTAAAATCGATGCGTTTTTATGAAAATAATGTCTAAATTGTTGCGCATGAATTTTTTTTTGTTTAAATGAATCGACATTCCGTACTAAAACAGCTCCTACTTTGCTCATTTAGAATCAGTCATTTAAAAAATAAATTGCCAAAAACTTTTTTTTTCCAAACAATTTTTCAATAAATACTCAAAATTTGACATTTAACATTTAATAACTTCGTCATTTATGAAGAAAATCTCATAAGACTTTTTTTTCGTGTGTAGGACAATATTACCCAAGATCTGTACGAAGATTGAAAAAATTGCTTAAAAAATACGGATTTAAGAAAAAAAAATGTGTTTTTCGTCTAGTACCCTTTTTGCGAGAATTCATTTAGCTAGACTGTTCGAAAATAACCGGCAAACACCTAGCAACAATGATGTGTTGAATGAGTAGAACAGACTGAGAAACCTGTCCAGTGATAACTAAAAAGTAAAAAATAAATTAAGAGCAAAAAAAACTTTTTTAAAGACAAGCTTTTATTTAAACGTGCTAAAAAGAATAAAATAAATTTTTCTTTAAAATTTTTTTACTATCAACTTATAACGTCATTACACAATTTATATGATATAAAAGCTTGTCGCAAGATTTACCTCAGCAGATACACGAGTAAATTAAATAATTTGATCTGATTGATTTTAATTTTTAAAAATTTCAAACTAAGTAAATAAGAGTACTTTAATTTCTCGACAAGTTTTTATATCATATAAATTGTCTAATGACGTTATAAGTTGATAGTAAAAAAAGTTTTAAAGAAAAATTTGTTTTATTCTTTTTAGCGCGTTTAAATAAAAGCTTGTTTTTAAAAAAGTTATTTTACTTTTAATTTATTGCAACGTTTTTTCCTTCTGCTGTATTTCACTTTCTGACATACAGTAAAGGAGACGTTCTTGCGAATGGGAGAAAGAAAATGGCAAATCGCATACATTTGAGTTACACTCGTATGGCTATACTAATAGAAGTTTCTGACAGCGAAGATGAAGTATCCGAGTATGAAAATCATACAAGGGATGAAACTGAGAGTTTCTACAATGATTTTGATACCATTAATCAACAAATGAACTATAAAGAGAGCATTAAGTCTAAGAATCGTGAAATAAAATGGAAGCTCAATCCACTTCCACATTTTCAGTCAACAGCTACTAATATTATAAAAGCTACTTCAAGGGTCACAAGATATGCAATGGCAAGGACGTAAAAATGCTTTTCAGTATTAAATTCTACAATGGACTAAATTCATGTGACGTCACGATCACGTGAAAACTATGTCACGTGATCACGTGTTGTTTGTTTACTACAGTAGCTACGATTATTTCGTTCTTTTAGTTTTACATTATAATTTTTAAAATGTCTTATTTTGATCAAATGGTTGATCAATCATTTAAAGAAACGGTTATCGTATGAGATAAAACCTTTTTTTAAAATCTGTCAAAAAATCTGAGTGTTTTGAACCCGTACTTGTTATTTGTCTTATCTCGTACATAAAATTAGCTATGTGTTACTGTAACTGAGTTGTTTATTTGGATTTAATAGTTTAAATTTTCATTGCTAAAATTATTTCTGCTTGGTTATGTATCCTGTTCTTATAGTTACATAATTAAAATTGATTTCAAGGCCAATTTTTGTTTTAAAAAATAGTTTATGTAACTTAGAAGCTTTTTCATTAATTTTTTCTGTTCAAGATAGTGTTGAAAGTTTTTGTAGATACTCTCAAATGTATTTTTTTATAAAAGTTAGTATGGATTCTCGTTTGAGATTTCTGGTTATATTTTTAAAAAATCTTGTGTTTTTTCCAAGTTTAGCGAGAAAAATAATTATTACAAATCAACAAGGAAACAGATTTTCAAATTCATACTAACTTTTTTCGCAGTAACCTATGAAACATAAATCACTTAAAATGACTAAAAATTTTTAAAAATTGGGCATCTTATGAGTTTGAAAAGATTTAAATTCTTAATTTTTTTTAAACAGTGAAATAATAGCTGGTCAAACTGACTTTTTGCTATCAGAATCAACATAATATAATTTGAAAAAAAAAACAACAACACCATAAATTGTATTTTTGCTGTTACTGTCTCCAAAAAACATTTTTAAAAAAGGGTACTTTTTAGCTTTAAAAACAAAGTGACTTAAGCCAATTTAAAAACACACACACACCTCAATTACTGGAAATTATTTGTTATGCCTGGTTGTACATTTTCTCGTTTGAAAAATTCTTATTTTTGAATACTATCGCCAAAATATATTCAATTAATTTTATGATCTGAAAAGTTTATGGAATGTCCAACACAATAATATTTGTCAAAACAATAATATGTACAGAAATATTTGTTTGGTTTGATAAATTTTGAATTTAATTGTGAATGGACATTTTATGCGACTATTCATTTATATATATATTGTATTGTATTTTTTCCATCGAATTTGCAATTCATTTTGCTGTAAAAATGAAATTCATTTTCACCAATGGATAAATATTATTAATCAAAAACTTTCATATTAACTCACTTTAATATGAGATGAACAATGGCTTAAAGTAAACTTTTTTATAAGTTTAAATTGTATTTTGGAACCATCTATTGTTTATACATAAATCATTATTTTCTATTATTTTTATAAATTATATGTAATTCAATAAGAAAAATATATTTAAAATTAAGGATGATTAAATTGAATTTCTGAAAGTTATTTCACCTTTTCTGATGGTACATTCCCTTAATATTGTACAATATAAAATAAGTAGATCAACATGTTATAGGCACTTCATATAAAAAAAAGTATTTATTAAAAATTTTAATGTAAATTTTTAATATAGTACATATTTGCATTAATAATAACTTGTGATTCAAGTGTCGCATACCCATGGACATGTTTTTTATTGCGTGATGTTATTTTTATAAAAGTTTTAATTTTTTTGTTTGATGCTTAATATAGCAACTTCTGAAGGTAACTTTTTAATATGCTGAAAGAGCTCTCAACACTTGCTACAGTATTTGAAACTTAAGAAAAAAGTATTAAAACAATTAATACATGTAGAAATAACTCATTATATTTATTTAGCATGTATTGCAATGTATCTTGTGTGTTATTTAATTCTCTGACATTCAAAATCAAATTCTGTTGCTAACTGATTTCATCTACATTTTTGTTGTAAACTTAACAAAAGTCTTGTAACTTTTTTCTAATTCATGTTTTACGCAGGTTTTTAAATCAGAATTAATATTTGGTATACTTATATAAATCTATTCGCGTAAAACTGTATCAATATTGCAGTGTTATAGAGTGAGTGAGTGATTTTGGAGTTTATTGGCGCAAGAGCCGATTTCGGCTATACTGCGCCAAACATTTGTTTTAATATCTGTGGTCTAGACGGGAAGAGAGCAAGAAAGAATGAATTGAATGACAAGAAAGAGGGTCGAAAATAGAGAAGGATCACTAGGGTACCCCGGGTTCGTGAAGCCCGTGTTTACCAAAGATAGTAAACCCCGTGGGAAAAGAAAAAGATCACTAGGGCACCTCGGGATTGTGCCACCCGTACTCACCTAAAGAAGGTGAGCCCCCTGAGGGGGCAGTGATATAGAAGTAACATGCAAGATTTAATAGAAGTAACATGCAAGACCTTTAGATCTTCAGTCTAACGCTCTCCCAACTGAGCTATTTCGGCACGTCTGCCAAAGATTTAATAATTTTCTTTGACTAGCCGTACGAGTCCGGAAAATGTATAAGTGATTTTAAATACGCAAAAAAAATTACTCTCCGGCGGGGAATCGAACCCCAGGTCTCCCGCGTGACAGGCTGGGATATACTGACCACTATACTTACCGAGGGCACTGAGCTGCCGAAACCGGGATCGAACCAGGGACTTTAGATCTTCAGTCTAACGCTCTCCCAACTGAGCTATTTCGGCACGTCTGCCAAAGATTTAATAATTTTCTTTGCCTAGCCGTACGAGTCCGGAAAATGTATAAGTGATTTTAAATACGCACAAAAAACTACTCCCCGGCGGGGAATCGAACCCCGGTCTCCCGCGTGACCGGCGGAGATACTGACCACTATACTACCGAGGGCACTGAGCTGCCGAAACCCGGGATCGAACCAGGGACTTTAGATCTTCAGTCTAACGCTCTCCCAACTGAGCTATTTCGGCACGTCTGCCAAAGATTTAACAATTTTCTTTGCCTAGCCGTACGAGTCCGGAAAATGAATAAGTGATTTTAAATACGCACAAAAATCACTCCCCGGCGGAGAATCAAACCCCGTCTCCGCGTGTCAGCGGCGATACTGACCACTATACTACCGAGGACACTGAGCTGCCGAAACCCGGTATCGAACCGGGACCTTTAGATCTTCTGTCTAACGCTTCCCAACTGAGCTATTTCGGCACGTCTGCCAAAGATTTAACAATTTTCTTTGCCTAGCCGTACGAGTCCGGAAAATGTATAAGTTATTTTAAATACGCACAAAAAATCACTCCCCGGCGGGAATCGAACCCCGGTCTTCCGCGTGTCAGGCGGCGATACTGACCACTATACTATCGAGGACACTGAGCTGCCGAAACCCGGGACCTTTAGATCTTCTGTCTAACGCTCTCCCAACTGAGCTATTTCGTCACGTCTGCCAAAGATTTAATAATTTTCTTTGCCTAGCCGTACGAGTCCGGAAAATGTATAAGTGATTTTAAATACGCACAAAAAATTACTCCCCGGCGGGGAATCGAACCCCGGTCTCCCGCGTGACAGGCGGGATACTGACCACTATACTACCGAGGGCACTGAGCTGCCGAAAGCCGGGATCGAACTAGGAACCTTTAGATCTTCAGTCTAACGCTCTCCCAACTGAGCTATTTCGGCACGTCTGCCAAAGATTTAATAATTTTCTTTGCCTAGTCGTACGAGTCCGGAAAATGTATAAGTGATTTTAAATACGCACAAAAAATCACTCCCTGAATACAAAAGGAAAAAAGGGAATTTCATAGTTGTTTAAGATAGCCTGACGAAGAGCAATTCCGTATGTTAAAAAGGCAGTGTAATAAGTTTAAAAAAATTTTTCTTTCATATTATTTTTTTTTTTTTTTATTTTTATCGATGAAGTGCTTAATGCTTTCTAGTGACATACCATCTAAGTAATGTAAGTATTTCTATGTTATGTAAATGAGTAAGACATTCACATTCAAGTTTTCATAATTGGAAATTTCTACAGAAGTTAAAAAATAGAATTTGGAGTCCTTCCAAACAGATGAAAACTGCTTTCGAATAGTCTTTAAACAACTCATGAATACATTTATACTTAATAATATGATAATGATAAGAATTTTAAAAATAAGCTATTCTTTTCTAATTATAAGCGGATACATGATTAAGGAACTCAAAAAGTTTTAGTGTGCAGTTTATTTATTTATTTTTATAAAAAGTTTTTGCATCATCTTATCTACTCCATAAATATTTTGTTACATGATACTGAAAAAAAAAAACTATGATAGCATGACAATATTTTTAAAATGATTTTATATTATTAGTATCAAAGGTGTTTCTCACATACAACTGCTTCCTGATAAATTTAAAACATTTAACAGCAGTAAGAAAATAAGAAATGTTTGTTTAAACAAAAATAACTTTCATTATTTTCGAGTGAATTTTATTTATTTCTTTATTTGATAATTTAATAAATGACAAACATGTAAGCATGATCAATCTTTAAATTAAGAATCAGTTACACCTTCACCATGAAATACACTCTTGTATGAATCGAAATCGTGGTATAAATAGCCACATATAACTTATTTTTTTTATTCTTATAAACTCTATTGGTGTGTATCGGTTAAATAGCTTTCATATCAGTAAGCTAACAAAGTCAGTTACTCCGTCATGCGTACATTATTTTTATTTCAATGTGAGAATCTTTCAGAATTTGAATGAATTTGGATTCAGCAACTACTTAAAGATATTACTCTCATTTAACGTTAATTATGTCATATAATAAATTGTGAATGCTTTTTCTCTAGTCTAATTCTTTGATCACTTAATTGAAATAAAGAAATTAATTGTTTCACATATTTGTCAAATATAATTATATAAATGTTTTTGCCTTTATTTTCGTGGAACACACAGTAGTACTCTCAATTTAAAATAATTATAACTATCAACGATAAAATAATAATAATAATAATAATTAACGATAAAAGGCTTAAGTGTAGAATATTTGGTGCATTATAATTGCATTTTCAAATCTTGATAACTCAAATACATTAAGGTACGTAAGAGTTAAATTATAATATATAAGAGTTAGTAAACACATAAGAGTTTCCTTTTCAAATTATACTAATTGTAGCTTATGGCTTCTTTATATACTTCCTTATAATGCATTCTTCAGAAATACTAAGGTTTTACTTTTTTTCACTCTATTGCACTTATTAAATGCATTAAATATATAGACATTGGTAATAATTAGTGGAGTTGTAATGCCTTTGATTAAATCTTAGCCCTATCTCTGAAACAATATTAGACATTTTATCTTACATTTATTTTTACAAAACCATATTTCCTAATTGATCTCGAAGAAATTTGCACCTTTTCATAGAACAAAGTAATCTTTTAATATCTTGATATTTTGAATAAGACAAAGACATTTATTGTAAGTACAACTGTGTTTATCTATAAAGAAAACAAACGCATCCGCATCGATAAATCTAAGTTTTGTTAAATTTCAGAAGTGTTGGAAAATAACTTTTGTTGGTGCGTCCCAATAAAATTGTGGAGATGCTATTATATTAATTTATATTGGTTGTAAAAATTTTAATTTAGTGATAAAAGTTTAATTTTTTGGAATAAATTCTCCTTTACATTGTAATTACAGACCTTTGTCATTCCTAAGTTTTCAGAAACAAGTTTTTGTCAAAAATTAATAAATCACAATTTATATTAGAAATTTCAAATAACAGTTTAAATTTTTTAGACGCTACTTACCCAAAAGTATCGAATGAAAGAGTAAGTATAAAATAAAAATATCTTTAATGACAATTTTTCACATTTAACTATATTTTATAAATTCACAATCTGAGAGTTTAAATTTGTAGCACTGAGTTCTAGAGACTGAAATTTTTAACACTATGAAATAGCTAAAAAAATTTTAGCAGCATTTAAAATCAGTATAAAATTATTTTCAACTTTAATTCACATTTATTCAGTTCTAAGTTAGTTTTATGACTTTGATATAAATGTAACTTTTACATTACAATATTTATTTAACATGCTTTTATATATTAGATTAAATTGAAGTCTTTCTCTTTTTGCGGATAAAATTGTGTAGCTTATTATTTATTAAGGTATAGTTTAATAAAACGCTTAACTATATCATAATTCAACTACTGTTATAAGATGCATGTTTAATATGTATATGAACACCATTTATAGTGAATTTGCTCAATAGTTGAAGTACTAAAATTGTTTAACATTTTTGCATGCCTCACAGCACCAATATTTTTTGATATCACAGTAAAAGTGATATAATTTTTTTTTTGCTTAGTTCTATTTTTATAATGTCTAAAGCAGTTTGTGGGTTTTCTTTTGTAATTATAATGCTTATCACAGTTACTGCATTACTGTAAGATAATGTAAATTGATTTGCTTAGTTCTATTTTATATTCTATCTAAAGCTGTTTGTGAGTACTTGTATAACTATAATGTAAAAGCTAAATTATCGGAATGTGTACTGTTTTGCTTAGTTGTAACCTATTTTTTAAGACAAATAAAGCATGTTTTTGTTTATACATGGGCTTGTTTTAATTCGTGGTATCTCTGTCTGCTACAGGAGGGTCGTCAAAAGATGGTTGAACCACCTCACCCCAACAAACCCGTTGAGAATCCCGCCAACGGTGCTCCCGACCTTGATGCCATCTTCGGCAAAAAAGCAGACAGCTTATTCGGCGTTAGTCCCAGCGGCGTTAGTCCCACACATATTTCAGATGCAGATTAATAGAAAGACTTTTACAAAACTATCATAGTTACATAAGTATAAAAAAACAAGGCAGACCAAAATCTTCTGGAATTCTACGACTAAAGGAACGTCTCTTTTCGAGTTTTGTTTCACCAATATCAAAAAAAGAAGCTGCCCCACGATATTGCTCTGTACGTGGGGATAACATAAAAGGGACAGAAAAGGAAAAGAAACAGAGAGAGAGAGAGAGTCATTATATGTGTAATAATCCTAATGTTAGGATATTTGCTGCAACTTAAATCCAAATATATCAGGAAAAGAAAATTTTGAACAATCTTTTAAATAAATACAATTAGAGTAATTTCTGTTGAAAAAGTATAAATGAATATTTGTTACTAATAAAAATATTTTTTGAAACAGTTATTTAAATAAAAGATACTAAAAGTCGATGCACCTGCAAGATTACATTATCCGGCTCTTATCTGCAATGTAGATTAAAATTCAAAAAAAAATTTTGCTTGATGATTTTTTTCTTATTTTGTCTAAACAAGATTCTAAGATATGTTTCTTGAAATAAAAAGAAATTTATTTTTTGTGCCATTTTTTCCCCCCCCAAAAAATGTGTACTTTGATATCTTGTTCAAATTTTCAATCGTTAATAAAATACTTTCTATTTATCCTTTCAAAGTAGGAATTGACTTAATTTTCTTTTTTATATTACTTTTCTATGCAAGTTTGTTCATATTCTTTTATTAAAATTAAAAAAAATATTTTTATTTGAATTTCAGACTTGATTAGGAGTATTACCGATTACTGATCAGCATCAGATCACTCGAAGATCAAAGCCCTCACGTTGGTATAATTTGGAAGTGTTTAGACAGGGAAATGTTGTCCAA